TTAGTGGCAAAAAAAAAAAACAGCTAATTTTTTTATTTTTTATTGTTAATTTTAAATTACGATATATTAAACACCAGAAGAAAATGACTTATCTTTAGAAAATGGCTGGTGAGCTTGAAAATGGCTCTCCTTAAAACTCTCCTTATGTGAGTAATTAGAAGGCTGTGCTATTAAAATTTCTTCAAAATTAAGGTAAGTATAAGGATTGAAATGCATTGATGCATTTCTTGAAATAAGCATTGGATAAGGATAGAAATCCGTCACATGCATCTTAGATTGATCCCATAAGCGTCGAAGTAACTGAAAGTGGTCGTCTAGGATCAGAGGTGGGGGTATTTACATCATATCACTAAGATCGATGGAACTCCGTATCACCCCAAAAGCGTGGCTCACCGAGATGTTACGAATAGAAGACTCTGAGGAACCGCCCGAGGTACAGACTGTATTCGAAGCGAGCGAAGCGTGTCTCCTTTTCACTTTAAATTGGTGAGAGAGAGCGTGTTCGACTGTGCGTCTCATAACATGGCCGGTTCCCTCTGGGAACGCCCGTGGGTCGGTAGGAAGGGAGTCAAAACACACAGCGGAGACCGTACACAAAAGTAAATTCGTTATTGTTGTACCATTACCATGCAACGAACCCTGGCTGCCTGAAAGTAGGGGGGTGCAACGTGTGCCCTGCCTTGAAAGTCCTGCCCGAGATCGGAGGCTTGGCTGCCAGCACCCCGTTGGCATTCAGTGCCCGAGGCTCCAGAGGAGGCTCGGTGCAATTAGCCTGAGCCTCGGCCTGACCCAAGTTAGTGGGAGAGCCGGGGCTGGGAACGAGGGTTCCCCTGGAAGAGACGTGTTTGAATGCAAACATGCTTTCGTGTTTCTTCCTGTTTGCCCACCGGAGGCCACAGTGGAGACAGCTCGCTCCGACTGCGTCTGATTTACCCGGCCTGCCAGGGACGCAATTTGCCCCGACAGTCCTTCGACCAAAGCCCTCAACTTGGAGGCAAACCCGGCGCCGTGTGAGGAAGGATCCACAAAAAACCTCCAGGGGCACAGCCTCGCTGTAGCCGGTAAAATCGGGTAAACCACCGCTGAAAACACAGACTGTGAGGATGCCCTCCGATCAGCAAGGGGAGACCGAAAAAATATTGCTACCTCCACTGTCGGACCTCTACTCGACGTCCCAGTACGCGAAGCACCGGTAGCCGAGTGTGAGGACTTTCCACTCATGCCAAACATGCAACTCACTTTAACCGATTTTTACTGAACATGCAACCTTGCTGTGAAAAAACGAGTGATGGAGTCAGTCCCAGCGATTTTGACGGCTCTGAAAAAAAAAATATCTCAGGCCTCAGAACAGTGAAAAACGCAGGCCTTCAAGGCAAAGACCCCAAATCTGGCACGCAGCCATGGCGAAAAAGCATATCGGATGTAGGTTCTATGCTGGTAAATTCTGAATATAACCACTACTCAAAAACGAGTAGGCCAAAAAACGGCAGCGAGTCATGGAGCTGTCATTACATCTATTCATTTCTAAATTAATTATTTAATTAATTATTTATTTATTTCACCAGAATGACCATTATAACAGAACTTATAAACAAAATACAATAGTAGTAATTCCGGCGTGGACCATGGAAATAGTCTTTATGGACTAGTCCAGTCCATGGCCCAGACTGTCAAGTTGAAATTTACAATTTACTAGTAAAGGAAAGGAAAATTACTATTTACATATGGAAAATTAAAAGGTAATCTATATGATTTAGATGTAAATATGACTAAAATATTATGTGTAATAATAATATAAACGAACTACTGGTACAACGAATTTATATGCAGAAAAAAAGAAAAAAAAATGTTTGCAGAAAAATGGGAGGTAATCGAAGAATTTAACAAAACAAATAATGTTTCATTTCATACTTAAATTTGTTTCTGTTGTTGATGTTTTTGAAGGAATCTGGAAATGAATTCCAGTGTTTTACTGCAACAAATTTAAAATTATGTTGTGAAACTGTAAGTTGAGCAACAGGAATTGACAAGTTACCGCTAGACACTGAACTTGTGGGATAGCAATGTGGGTAATCATTAACATACTTATTGA